ACCAAGTTCTAGCATCGTGGACACAGGCCTTAAGAGAAGACACAGCAGTAAATACCGTTGGAACGATCAACCTGATGGGGAAGTTTCCCTTGATGGTTATAACAGTAAGAGCCGCGATTGTGTGTGCGTTCGACATCGTCGGTCGTCTCGGAGAAACGATTTTCTCGCAAGAGTAAATAACTTCGCAAAAATTCCATTTTTTTCCGGAATTGGTTTTAACCACGAGATCCTGGAAAGATGCGAGAAATGACTTGCGCCTTCGCCGCTCGCATGCGTGAACGGGACGGGATGCTATTTCCGCGTTTCGCTCTTTTTCTTTTTTGGAAAATCCAGTGAACTCTATACATACTGGAATGAGTCATCTATTGTTCTGGCTGTTGCCGAAAGAGAAGTGCGTTTGGGTGAATCCTTGTCTCCTTCTAGTACTACCTGATTGGATAGTCGCATATAAATGACGAGAAGGGCGTCACTTATATGCGATTATCCAATCAGGTAGTACTAGAAGGAGACAAGGATTCACCCAACGCACCTCTCTCTCGGCAACAGCCAGAACTATAGATCACTCATTCCAGAAAAGAAACTTAATATTCTATAGAAAGAACAGGTAGTATTAGAAGGAGACAAGGATTCACCCAACGCACCTCTCTCTCGGCAACAGCCAGAACTATAGATCACTCATTCCAGTATGATATAGAGTTCCCTGGGAAAATCCTGTGACTATGCACTGTTAAATTTGTAGCGTTAAGTTTCTTTTCTACACTGAGAAAAATTTTCATCGGATAAACCAATTAAATAGTATGTCCGATGGTTAATTTTTCCGATTAAATTATGGATATATCCGATGAAATTTATCCGATGAAATGCAATTACCGATGAAATTTCATTGAAAACCCGATCAAATTTTTCATCGGATATACAATTTAATCGGATATATCCGTTTGTTATCATGTAATTGGATTATCCGATTATATTTAATCGGACATTTTTCTCAGTGTATCTGTGTGGCGCCGTTCGAGATGTCTCGAATTTATTTTTACGATGCGAGAGAATGCCGCCGTAAAATTAATGTGGTTTGGGGACCTTCCACAGGGGGGACACCCGTTCATCGAAAGGATTTAAGTATGACGGGAGTTTGGCTTCTCGCCTCTCAAGCGCGACAGCGATAATTCGACGTTTAAAAAAAATGTTTGAAAATAAAGCCGCCGAGATGGATTCCGGAGATTTACGCCTTCGCCGTGACAGCTGCTCGCCCGGCGAAGACGCGCGTCCCCGGGGCGCGATGTTTCCGCTGAACGTGAGCCGCGGAAGGGTGCAGCGGGCAGGATCACGCGTAAGGATCACGTCCGGCAGTTCCTTCGGTACAAATCGCTTTGGGAAACCGGGCACGCCCCTTCGCGGCTGCCGCGACGCGTTACGCGCCTTCCTATTTACTTTACGTCGCGCGTTTCCCTCTGCCCCTCTTTCCTCACCCTCGTCGGCGAAATGAGAATCCGGCGCGTGTTGAATGCGGAGCGACTCGAAAATAGTCCGATCCGTTTCACACGCGCGTCGCGCTCACGAACGGATAAATCAACAGCGTTTCAACCCCTTTTGCCTCGACGGCGCTTTTAGACGCGATAGAACGGCCGAGTATGTGCATTCTCGATGCGAGAGCATTCTAACGGCACGCTCGGAAGATCTACATCGGTAACGCCGGACCTGGGAGCGACTTGTTTAGAGTATATCGAGATTTTATGAGGAATTCGACGTTTCAGGGGAAAAGATCGTAGCACCGAGTCAATTTCTTTCGGTTTTTTTCGGAATCTCCCGGAGGGAAGTCGCAACCACCGAGAGTATCCCGCCACACATACCCCTTTAGGGGTACGGCTCTCCAGATTGGAGGTTTCCTTCGGCTAGCAGCTTACCGAAGATGAAGTATTGTAAAAGCAAATGCTCAAAGTACCAAAACGGGATAAAACAGTCTTTAAGCCTAGGGAGGAAGAAGAAGAATTAAAGACATCGAAGTGTAGCATCTGGAACTATCGTAGAAAAGTTTTATTTAAGTTCTATCCTCAGAAAGGATTTCTGTTACTGAGACGAAAAACATTCTTGACACATTTATATTTCTCACAACCCCATTTAGTATAAAAATAAGACAATATTAAAATGAAATCAATAATTCTTATTCTCATCTATCGAATGAAAAAAAGATTGACATACTATATTGAGACAAGAGTAACTTATATGTATATAATAAATGTAAGTTTATCTTATATTCTTGCGTTTAGAATAAAATTTTCCCTCCATCTTACAACGCACGAAGTTGGCAAAAGACGACATATACTATCATTTTGTTCTAGATTTTAGAATTTTTCATTTAAGATTAAAATATTTCTTCTCTATAATAAATATAATTAGAGCTATGTCGATCGTATTTTATGATACATTGAAGTGTAATGGCATTGGATGCGGGATTTTTTTCTGTGGGTGCTAGCCTGAGTTAGTTAACATTGAACACAAAAATCGTTTGAGAAAAAAAGATCTCGAATCCAAGTAAGTAGTGGCAATACTTTTGTATTCAATATCGTAATCTCTTCTTCGCGAGGCTCCACTTACCCCGCCGTCGAGAAATTTATTTCACGTTAAAAGCGATTTCCAGATTAGCGATTATTTTAAAGGAATGTCTTTCTTAACGTCTAAATTAATTCGGTTTCTTCGGCTGGAATAATCGCCTGAGCTTGCGAAAGGAAAACACATCTCGGGGGACGTGTTAGCGGAAGGGTGAAGACTTGGGAACACCATGTGGAAGATCATGCGGGCGCGGCGTAACACAATATTGAGATAAATTCAAAGCGTTCAAACGGACAATTTACCTGCATCCACGCGCTCGAATTACACCTGCGACAAAATAGCATTGGTCCTATGTTCCTAATAAAATTCTGAACTAGATACTTTCACGCTGCAACTGTCAATTCGATCGATGTAAAACTTCCCTGAAAGCGATATCTCCAATCCTTTTTCCATTCGAACCGTCAATCTCACTCTCTTTCGATTTAAAAGAACATTTTTCAATTTCCTTTCACAAGTTTTCAATTGCAAAATTATTTATTTGTCATTAATTACAATATAATAGAAAATAGGAGCGGTAGCTTTATTAACATTTGTGTTAGGAGATAATTTTGCAGAAATAGATATATATATTCAGGGTTGGGAAAGTTACTTTATAAAAGTATATAGTTACAGTTTTCTCGCTAAAAATGTAACTAGTTACAGTTACAAGCTGCCAATTCTGAAAAGTAACGCGTTACAGTTACTCAATCAGTACCGAATCGTTACTCTGCAGTTACTTTCTTGAAATAAAAATAAAAATATCAAATCTGCACTTGAATTGTAAAGCGCCGATAGGGTTTACGCGCAAATGTAAGACCTAATGCGATCTGTGCAGGTTTAAAATATGTGTAAAATAATTATTAATGTAACCGAGTTAAGTTACAGTTACAGACGGAGAGAAAGTAACGAAGTTAATTTAGAGTCACCAAAAAAAAAGTAACTGTAACTTCGTTACAAGTAACGAGTTACTTCCCAACCCTGCATATATTATACATTTTAATTATTATAAATAAATTTTACAACATTTTTACAACATTATTATATTACATATTTTAAACAAATAGAGTTAAATCAGGACCGTTATATGATACAAATCAAATAAGAACCGAGAACGCTAAATTTTAGTCCGAGCAAGATGTAGGTAACCGAATAATTAAAAATCTCTCTTGGAAAACGGTACATGAATTAGATTGTAAATTATTAGGCTACCTACATCTTGCTCGGACCTAAAGTTCGTCCTCGGTTCTTATTTGATTACATATTATAATTATAATAAATGAATAAATTATAATAAGACAAAGGCACTATAAAATAATATAAAGGGAACCTTCTTACACCTGCATCATTTTGTTAAACTATTTTTATAAATCTTTTTATTAATATGTATAGCTGGAATTTCAGATAATCGATTATTCAAACGCTTCTACCGCTTTCTCACGCTATTGGTGTGCAAATTTATGCCGTTATCCGACATGCAGAGATGCCGATGATGATTACGAAAGATTGCTCGCGTGAAACGTCAAAGGTTATCGAATGAAGATGTATCGGAAATATCGATGAATGCGGGTTGTTTTCCGCTACCAAGTTTCGCACGTCTTCGATCGTTTCAAATGTGCGACGCGGTGGACAAAGATTATACCAAGTGTGTCTTTTTTACTTAAAGTGACGTCACAATTTAATATTTAATAATTTAATATAAAAAATGTATATCTTCTTGAAGTTCTTGTTCTCATGGAACGATTAATTTACGATAATTAAGAAAACATTAATAATAACGGAGTAAATAAATTGACAATAATTGTAGCATATTCCATTAGAAAATGTTCAATTCGCAAATAGAATCCTTTAAAACAATAATAAATAATTTCAATCGCATGCTAATTCTTTCAAACTCTTGATTAATCTAGACTGTAAACTCACAGTTAACTGTAAGACGCAACTTTCTTGGCATTTCGCGTTGATTTTATTTCGCGAATACATTAAGGTGTACGAAGAAGGGGATTTTCGTGCGACGACGTCGAATACCTACGTGCCGTTCTTTGAGCGAGAAATCGATTGTTTTACGAACCTTCGGCGAGAGCTCGCTTTTATCTCTCATTGAGGCCCGCAGGGGGAACGGCGGGTGGAACCAATTAATCTCCCTCGGCAGCCTCCCTCCGGTTTCGCTCGACTTCCCTGGAGACGCGGCACTCTTATCAAGCCGACGGTGCTTGACACATTTCTAGCGACGCCTCGAATGTCCTCGCCATTTCCTCGCCGCGCGATTTTCAGGCCCGTCGATCCGCCGAGACAAATCGTCGATCGTTGATTGAATTACTTTAGTCGCGGCTGCTAGCGATTCTAATCTCTCATCGTACATTTAAACGTCGCGGCAATTGCGACGCACGTGTCCTGCCTTACGTTCGCGAGAAATATCATGAAGCGACTTGTTATATAGTTATTATTGCACTAGTCACGGTTTATTATTGCCCAGTCAAGTGGCAATCTTCCATTAGCCGCGAAAGTTTTCAGACCTGTCTCAAAATTCCAGTTCGAAGGGGGTCCCTCATTTACTCCTTACTTTAACTTCGCCGTGCATTTTGACCATTTAACTCGCGCACGAACAGCTCCGATAAAATCGCTACGTTACATCATTAGCAGTCAAATTATCTCTCCTTTTTTTACTTCATTCTGTTCCACTTCAGTCAACTGAAGCCGTTGAAATGGGTGCGAGGTGTATCTCTTTACGTTCCGACTTTTATCTACTTCCCGAAGCTTATGTCGACAAGCTGCTTCTATTTAACTCCTCCGTTCCAGCGAAACACACCAAAACGCACCGAACACGTTGATTGTCAATTAGAATTTCCGTTCTTTTTCGCAAACGTTCGCGTCTGAATGAAACCGCTCGCACTCTCAAACTCGTCCATTGCCGTCGACGCCTGCGGAGCCGTCCGTATTCTCACCTCATTAATCAAAGAACCGTGCAATAGTGTGACTCACGTCGAAGATACGACAGCTCGGGGGGGCCACTTCTCTCTTTAAACGGCACCTAACCGCGTTGCCTCGATTCGCGTTCGAGTTCAGAGCCGTCGGTCGTCTCTGGCAACGCACGGGGCGATCCTCCGCAGCCACCGTTCCGCTCTTCCACCCCCTCGAGATGGCTGAACTCTCGTCGCTCACTAACTCACGGCATGATTGATAACGAAAACATATTCGGTCTCTGCTAATCACACGCGTCGAACCCCCGACTCGGCGTAAAATTAAAACATTAGTCACTCCGCGCCGACGCTGCAATCTCTCCGTTCCTCGTTCGGAGCGTCCGCCGTGCAACCCGATATTATTCGCCGACGGTGCGATTAATCCCTCTCGGTCACGCTGAAATGAATAACTCGGCGTAAACTCTTGCGCATCTCGCGCAATCCGAACGCGGTCTCGCTCTCCTCTCTCAGCGGAGCTCTCTTGCCACGGGGAACTCCCCCGCGGGAGCACGCGATACTCCTCGTTGCACTTGGCGACGATCAGACGACCGCACTCCCCCGGCGATCGCGCCTCCGCGAACACGTCATCCCGAGCAATCGCGAGTCAACCGCCTCCGTTGACGATTCCTCGCCCTCTCGGCGAGGCCGGAACCGTGCTCCGACGAGCAACCCCTCGCGATACCCGATACCCCGAGATCGTCCTCGGAGGACGCGGACGCGGACGCGGCGACGTTCCTTCGACCTCCCGGAGGCTCCAGGGGGAATCCGCGCACCTCGCGCGATCAATTCATCGAGCCTGGCCGCAGCGTCGCACGTGTACACACCATTTACACAGCGTCGCGCGTATCCAGCCGTACAACTGCGATGCACCGTGTGCACGCGCTGGACTCCCTTCCCCCCTTCCGCGTATCATGGACCAACAGCCGCGAGGCGGCCGATCCCGCAGCTCCCGCCTTCGCTGTCCTCCTCGCACCTTCGCTCATCTCCCTACCCTCTCACGCTCCCCCCGACTCTTCGCGCCACCCCGGTCCAGCTTGATGTAATACACACCCGGCGGGGCCGAGTGCGCCTACGCGGTCATCACACCAGCTACCCTCCTTCATTGATAGAGTTATTAATGATCGCGCGTACCGCTTGTCATGGCACTTACCCGCGCGTATCCTCCGTAATATATTATTTATTTACCGTATCGCCGCGCCGATACGGGACCTCCCTCGCTCCCGCACCCGCGAGACCCTCGTCCCCCACCCCCACCGCCCCTCTGCCCGTCATCATCATCCCGTTCCAGGCTCACCGGGTTCCGAGCGTACGTGTATGGTATCACCGTGGATGGCAAACGCACACACCGACTTACGCTCATGTACCGCTGCGAGGTAGAGTAACTATGTGCGTCGAGATAACGCCTCCCGCGTTCCATTGGCGCAGCCTCCGGCTCCTCGGCCACTCCCACGTGGCATCCGCGCGTCCCCCCCCTCCCCCTCCACTTTCGTCGGGGCGAGGGAGGGGGTTGTCAGAAGCTCTCGGAGCCCTCTCCCTCTCCGTTACGGCCGACGGTCTTTCCTCCTGTCGTCGCTGCCGCCGTTTCGCACCCGGTTTTTAACGTTCTTGCGCGCGTCCCGGTACGCGGGGGATGAACGCCGGGCGAATTTGCGCCGCGGCTCCTCGACCTTCCGCGTCGCCCGGCGCGTCGTCGCCGAATCCTCGCCTTCTTAAATTTCGTAACCGGGAGGGAAACGCGGGTCGGAGATCGGTAGGATCGATTGTCGTCTCGATTACGACGCGTGTTAGCTGACATGTATTCAATGAAAAATCGTGTAATAATTCAATAAACGATCTCGCTGGTCTCTCTCATGATACACAGAAAAAAGGAATATTCTTCTTTTGAAAGGTGTTCAGTTTTAACGTGAAAATCTTGAAATGAGATTACATTGCGTTGGGAACAGAGGAAGGGAAACTTACTTACATGGAGCAATTTTATGTAATTCAAACAAGAAAAAGATGTGCTCATTATTTAATTTTCTTGAATGGAAAGGAAACAATGTTGGATAGAAAATATACACACTCACTGAAAAAATTTTCGGATCCAATGCTATTACACTTTCATGTTACTCTTGTCTCAATATCATAAGTCAATCTTTGTGAGCATTAAATTGTTTCTAAAAAAAGTTTACATTCAATCAAGAAACGGCTACGTACTTCCAAAGAGAATATTGTTGTGAAGCTACTGTAAAAAAACATCCATTTTCTCAAGGTAATTAATGAACACCTTTGACATCTTTGACAAAGGTGTTCATTAATCACCTTGAGAAAAATGAATGAGTTTATGAAAGACATCGGAAAAAAGCATCCTATGCTGGGTCCGACCTGGGTCCGACCTTCCCCAGGTCGGACAAAGGTCGGACAAAGGTCGGTACTCGATAGTACACTGATAAAAATCAATACGAATTTACAAAGGAATTTACTCCTTTACTTATTTACTCATTTCTTGGTAAATTTGCCTGAATTTTCATGAGTTTTTACATAAAATTCACATTTTTCCTTTGGTTTCATTAAAAATACAGGAATATTATGAAAAATTAATTGAATCTGGTATTTTTAGTCACATAATTTGTAAATTTGCTTTCGGTTTATCCATAATTTTTCATATATGTGCTTAAATTTCACTATTATACCGTAAATTTACAGTTCGACATGGAATTTTACTCTTTTATTAGTGATATCGCAGTATTTCAGTAAAGTGGAGTGTGCGCAAGAGAGAATTTCATCATCCTAGTATGCTGTGCGCGCCATAAATTTACTATCTTAAAGGGAATGTTACAATAAATCATGTATTTTTAACATCAGACAGTAAACTGAAAAAATATTTAACGGAAACATAATTTCATTTGAATGGTAATTTTAACGTTTTGAAGGAAAATTACAAATTACTTCGTATTTTAACAGCGTAATTCGAAGGTTAAAAATGACCACCGATTTTCACAGTAAAATGAGATTCAAATTTTTTATCAGTGTAGACTATCAGGTAAAAATTCCCAAGTTTAATTTCCTCCGTTAAATTTATAGTAAAAAATGTAATAATTGAATCGTGACCTCCTATTTTAAATAGATATGAGTTCGCGGAGATACGTAACGTGACAGTGCAGGCTCTTCGAGTGTAAGTTTTCTTTTTTCCGATTTATAATTTCGAAATTCGTCACGTGCCCGCAAAGTTTTGTGGGAAATTTAAAAAAAAATTCGTAGTGCCTCAATTCTACGGATTATATGGGACGTACGTGTGTCCATAGAGACGGTTCTATTTCATCTGGAAAAAATGTAATTCGGCTTGAAAGCTTCGGACGTGATTTCGAAATAAAGTCACGACCGCCAATATTGCAAGACAAATAATTGCGCCTGCAAAATTCCGATCTCTACGGGGCCAATGGCACACCCCGTTATCCAGGGCGAGTTATGCACGAAGCGTAAAAAGCTGTATTTACAGCATTGCCCGACACGTCGGTATAACAGCTAGGTAGGAAAACATTATTTCGCGTCATTTTAGAAATAATAAATAATTACAATACAACTTTGGAGCATTCTGTGCGTAACACGAGGACAGGACGGGCAAACACCCATATATTTCGACCGGATTATCGGCAGTGCAGGGGTATCGGGTGTTACGTCGGCATTCCAGCCGGCGACATTAACGATGACGATGAATTGCGATTATGGCGGGCGTGGAGCTCGAACTCCGCGTAGTCAGCCGCGTAGCGGAGTTAAGTTAATTCAGCCGGGTATGCTGATAGCGCGACTACTTTATGCTGTCGTTTGTGCAATTCGCGATATTGCTGCATCGATTTTGCATGCACGCACGTAGGTCGCGCATGCCTAGTCCCCACCCCCCGTCGGTCGCGCACGTGAACCCTTAATGCCACTCTTGACGTATTAAGTTCCATCCTTAAGGAGCAATGCCATTCTAGCGCCCGGAAAAACAACCTAATTTTGACAATTTTTTATGGGAATATAATGAGTGGAATACAAAATCCGTTTAAAGGCCTTTCTTGCACATACTTTGAAGTGTAATTATAAATTTTTATAGATTTTTTTTATACAAAATGGCGGCACCAGAGCTCAGCAAAGAAAGCCTCTTCTCACAGATAGTGTTCCACGACCGGAAACATACCTCCTCCAATTTTTGACCTGGAACAAAAAATAAAAAATTTTTGAGTTTTATATAAGATTAGCTCGGGAAGTACGTACGGAAATTAAAAAATACCGTGTTTTGTAAAACTGACGCACGTTTGAACAAGAAGTTTCGTTTTTAGGTAAAAGATTGCGTGAATAATCGTTTATAACAAAAAAAGTTTACAATGAAACGTAAAATCCGTACGTAGTTCCCTAGATAATGTCATTGTGAAGCTACAGTTAAATTTTCAAGTAGATTGATAATACAGTTATGCAGTTATGTTTCCGGCAAGTTTAAAAAATGCAGTTTTGCGAAAAACGCGTTTAAAGTTTTATGTAGCATTATCGATAGAAATTTTTTATTTACCTCTAGTCTGCGATGCTTGCACCATACAATTGGCCTTCTAAATTTATGTTTTCTCCTCTTCTTCCTTTCTGGTTGATGTTGAAGACAGCCGAGCCTCTTTTGCAGCATCAGTCAGCGATCGTTCCGAAAACTTAATGCGGCGCGCGTCAGCTTCCGTGCAAAAATTGTAGCAGTTCTGCCCGATTGTTATGCCTAATACCTCCATAATCTTCATTATGCTTAATAAACCATCGTTGTAGATACATACGGTTATATTTTTAAGATCGAGGGATTGTTCCAATCGAAGTTATGATTGTGATCAATGTGGTGTTTGCTAACGACAGATTGCGATGTGGTTGGTTTAGTGATGTCTCTCTTGTGTTCTTTAATGCATGTCTTTATGTGTCTTTTTGTTTGTCCGATGTGAAAAAGAGAAATCGCTGAAATGTTTTTCATCAAAAATCACATCGACAACACAATAAACCTCATAAATCAGCGCACTGCACACAGAATCTTGAGGCTCGGAGCATGCTCAGCTTTAGTTCATGGAATAATTAAGCACTTAAATCTTTTTCCCCATTATAAAACCTATTGTACCTTATTTCTAAGACCTTAAGGCATCATTTAAACAAAAAAATTTTTTTGTTTAAATGTCCTTGCACATATTAGCAATTTTTAAGTTAACGCTATGAAAAGACCAAATGGTTTGTTCGTAATGATTGTAAACCCTTTTATTATACATACAAATAAGGTACATTAACAACACCGATGTACACGGCGCGAATTTTCTTCTAAAATTTATCCTGAAAATTGTGTAATCGTGGGACAGCATGGCGTTTCAAAGAATTAAAAAAAACTCATAAAATTCTTCGAAATGCCAAGTCGTCCCATGATGATTTCCAGGATAAATTTTAAGAGAAAATTTAAGATAAATTTTATGAGAAAATTTAAGATAAATTTTATGAGAAAATTTAAGATAAATTTTATGAGAAAATTTTCGTAATAATAATATGTACAATTTGATTCAAATTTAGAGTCCGTTTACCGCACCTTTCAAATGGACGTTCAAAGCTCTCAAGGCCGACTCGAAAACTGTCACTTGTTCCGAAAACTGCCGTTACGTAGTTAAAAGTGAACCGAAAAGTATCCTTACATGTGTATGTACATCGTTCTATGTCTATATCTGTACTTATTTAATCTGTAAGTTAATAATTCTGATGCAAGTATATATGTATACAGGGTGAGTCTTTCCATATCCGACAAAATTTTTGAGAAGGTAGAACGGATCGAGATGAACGGAAAAGTTCTGTACCATTTTGCAATTTTCGTAATAGTTAACAAGTAATTAATTATTAAAAATCGTTGTCTTAGGCCG